TCAGTATGAGTAGTGCTGGGTACGCTCTCTGCACGACTGGATGCGAGCATGCACTGCGAGAATGCTGGTACGTTGGTCTGCGTTTGACTTGATCCATCGCGCTACGGCAACTTCCTTTCAATAACTGTGGAGTTTGCACAGCCCATACTCGACTTCAAGGGAATCACGTCCGCACCACACCAACAGCAGTGGCCAACACTAGAAATCGGATGTCTCCTCTTGCACTCTGGCAATCTGCTTCTGATGATCGTCTTCGGCCCCACGAAGCTTTTGAGCCTTAGTGTTGCTTTACCTTCAAACCTGGTGGTTTTCGCCGCTCGGCGGATGGGAAATTATATATTTGCACAGGGACACATTACCTTGTCCACTGCCTGCCTCCTTTTCCTGAGGAGGCCCGAAAAGGCCGCGCACAGACAGCCCGCTTTTTATCCCATTCCGGATCGAGATGCCCAAGGCATTTTCATGTTGCTAAACATCTGCAGAGGACTTCAACTGTGATCCGCACCATCTCGTGCAGCTGCTGCTGCGTAGCCTGCACCTTAGACCTGCGCCGCGTCTCAGAATTTCACAGCTGCCACCGGCCGCTACATCATATACCAACCTTTTTGTCCTAGCTTTTGGCCGGGGGGTCTGCGGCATCACAGCTACACGCCTTGGTTGTCCACAAGTTGTGTAGATATTGCTCACATACTGCTGTCTTCCAGTATTCCATACCATTCGGCCTCAGCTCTGTCTCGCGCGATATAGCTGCCGCCAACTCCTGGCACCCAGGAGGGGTTGGAGCCGAATCGACACCACCGGCCCCGTCAATTCTCACCACCATCATCACCATCATCATCATGATCACCGCACCACAGCTGGCCAGTGCTAAGATGGCTGGCTATACATTGAAGACAGTGCTAAGATGGCTGGCCATACATTGAAGATAGACCTTACATGGCTTCCACTTCCTGTTGAAGACAGACCTAGCTGTCATCCACTACTTTGGACATGAGCTGAATGCACACCCTCCTGGCTTTTGTAGTCCAGGTCAAGTACGTCACGTGCTGAAGGGCTGCGGTGCTTCCTCCAAGAGCCCTCGATCGAACTTCACAAGAGCCCAACCCCTCTAAGACTCTAGGATCCTTGAGGTAATCCTCATATTGAAATCCGCTGAAGAAGCCTACCACCTTCACTCACAGCCATTCCCCTGTGCCAAGTTGTCCCCTGATACAGAAAGTCCGCAGCCTCCTGGATGGCCTCTGTCTTTGATTGGGCTGCGTGCGCCGCCTCAGTGTCTTGCAGCCGATCCCACTTTGTACGAAATTTTTCTGCATACTTGACGAGCAATCCAAGCTCAACAGTAATAAAACCCATATAGATTTGTAGAAATTGTTTTGTCGGGGGTCCAAGCCGCTTTCAAGGTGGGCTAGAACAAAAAACATATCTAAACATGTCTTTCCAGACTCAAGTGGAATGTTAAGGATCCTAAGCGAGTAAACCTAAGTCTTAAACCTTGAAACCCCAAAACCTAAGATCTTAATCTGGAATTCTAAGAGACTAGAGCCTGCTGCCCTCAACATGCACATAGGAGGAGCTGATTCTGAACCAGATTTGCTTACCAAAATTCATTAGGAATTCAAGGCTCAGACGTTGCTTCCTGAGCTACCGCTTACGGACCTTGCGGGGCAGTGTCTTTACCTACATTAATGGAACATCCCCTAAAAAACAGCACTTCGTGCCGGGGTCATTCGTTTCGAAGATTTTCAACAATTTAAGTCTGTTTACAAGCAGTCAAGAAATCCAAATCAACTGAAATCCAATTTGCACCCATTTCAATTGAAAATTCAAAAATCTGATCTACCACCAGTTCTATATCTAATGAGACACAAGCAAGTTTCATTCAGGTTCCATTGCAATCTAATTAAATCAAATCAATTCGTTCTCCCCTGCTTCTCTTACTCTTGCTTCTCTTAGTCTTACTGCCTACTCCATCTGCTTCTTATTCCTCATCCTCTAACTCACGCTCTTGCTCTTACCTCCTTCTCTGTTCTTTCTGCTTCTGCTTAACTGTACTGCTCGTACTCCGCATGATTTACTTTTCCTTTTCGGATCTCTGGAATCATGGGGCTCGGACATTGTTAGGGGACTGTGGGGACCAAGGGGTGCCCTTACTATTGAGGAGTGAGGATTAATTAGGCTCACCCGTAAAAGACTCCAAAGGCAACTGCTCACGATGATTTGGGATCAAAGCACCAAGATTTATGAATCTGCTGACACGCTGGCTTCATCCACTCTTCATCTATGCAGCGGAGGATGCGGAGCGTACTGTAATCCTTTCCGAGTCAAGCACCTGCAGATTTTTTTCACGACCATACGGCGCCTGTATCCGAAGAAAACAGAACCCTCTGCACAAGAGATCGTGAGAGTTAAGAATAGAACCAATTCATGTTGGAACTTTCGAACGCAGCTGCGGCAACAAGCTGGGGATTCAGACCTCCCTGCCAACTCCATCCATCTCAGACCTCCAAGGAGCAGATGGTCTAAAATGGAACGCAGAAGTTATCTTCTGCGACTTGCTTGAGGCCTCGCCTAGACGATCGCTCAAGAACTCCCAGGTCCCAGGCCCTGAGATTCCTTCTTTCCACCCTGCCTACACTGTAGTGCGCATTTCGTCGCTTGCCGAATACCATTCCCTCTACTCTTTCTGCAATTTCCATGAAAAGCCCATCCCTGCCTCAGCTCAGCCTCTCGGCCCTCTGCTGCAGAAAGCCGCTCGCGGAGGGACTCGAGCTCCTGCCTCTGGTCATCCTGAAAGGCAGCAGCGGCATATGATTTTCTAGTTGAAGGCCATGAATCCTTCGAAGGGATTCTTATGATGGGGTTGTATCGTTTCGGGTGGGCAGACAACAGGGGACCCTTTTTGGAGAACTTCTCATCAAATATACCGAACTTCAGAAATGCGTGCCACAATACGATTTCGTAACAGCAGCCAGGTGTAGTAAGAAAACAAAATTCAAAATCGAAAGACAGAAACGAAACGTCACTAGCACTTCGATTTCGTGGTCAACATAAAAACATTCACGTCGCCATAAAGGGTAGTCGTGTGCGTTGTCATCGTCGCCGTCACCTCCGTCGTCAACGTTGTCGCCGCCGCCTCTGCCACAGAAGCACAACCTCTCCAGCCAGCCAGCTCGACCCAACAAAAGTCGGGACACGGCCCTAGCACAGGCCAACAAGGAACTAAGGTCCGGACATAATGACTTAAGTCAACAAATGCCAAACTCCATCTGTTGCAGGTTGTGGTTCTTTGCCCCTTTCGTGTATGTAATGCTTCTACAGCGGATCCGACACGTGCAAATGGTCGCGGATGCAGTGGCTTTCCTGTGTTCTCTTATGCAGAGGAGCACTTGCAATCGACATTGATTCTGGACACAAGAATCGGTTCAGGAGCCATGAGGACTTGTTTCTTTCTCTTGCCGAAGCTGCACGTGTTCCTGAGACGCGAATTCCAACGGAGCCGGTATGTGTGGCTCCACTTCCGTTCAGGGAGAACTTCTAAAACTGCATGCAGTATCCACTGAAGCATCCTGGAACCAGTGCCAAAACAAATCCACCCACATGTCAGTGTGGGGGAAGATGGCACTGGTGACTTACTCGTTCAGGGCCGTAAGGTGATGACCCATCGCACATTCTGAGCCAATGTGTTGACCGAGCGTGCCTGGATAATTGGGCAGAAAGGTTTGCGAATCTTACGGGCTCAGCTGCGCCCCAACCTTTATCCGCGCTCTTGTCGCAAAGCGCTGAAAATTCCTCTTAAAGTCTCTGTAATGAAACACTATAACTTTCACACTGCACCAAAGCACTGAAGCAGTCCTCGGCCAGATGATGCTGTGCCAATGCCTAACAAAGCAAAGCTTGCCAGGTTCTGAGGTTCTGGGCAGCTCCTTGCGCTGCTGGTTACCTTTGCCGAGCTATGGTCTGATATCCCAACTGATGCCATCGAAGCCCTGCGCTATGACAAGGCTGGTTACTTCGGAAAAACTATTCAGACCACAGCAGTACTGACAACCATGATCTTCACAATAACCATACTCCTGCAAATCAAGAAAAAACTGCGGAAGCCACCATGGAAGCGCGCTTCCCTGCGGACTCTGCCACCTGGAGCTGAGACCTGAGTGTTCAAGTGGTTCTGACCCATTGCGGAATCAAATTGAGGCTGATACTAGGTTGGAACAGAACTTTCACACGGACAAGGACTATCATAAGAATAAGCTTCCCATAGCTCCATCAGGGATGTTCCTTGACAGCATGTCCAGGCAAGAATCGCAGCACCAAAGCGTGTCAGTTCGGACACCTTACATTGATACCCGGAGTTCTGCCAGACAGTGCCGCATCTGTGAAAAGATATCCGTACCTGGTCAAAACTGAAAAACAAAACTGGAGTGAACTTGCCACAAATGTAGCAACAACGAAGTGATCGGGCTTCAAGCAAGGCCTTGAGCACAAGGGAAAAGAGAGCACATGCTCCTGTTAGAATGGCAGCTGAAACTCTATTAAACCACTGCGGATCCTTCCCTAATATTATCCAGAGACATTTCCCGACATCTCCCGACGACTGCTGCTATAGTAAATGGTACCTTGCTGCAACAAATTCGGGTAATCGGGCTGCTTCTGAATCTTGTGCTAATCATGACAAGGCTTACGGTCTCTCATCCGCAAACGCGACTCAGCTCTTTCCTGCAGAAACAGCCGGTGGGGTGCTCGCCCGCCCGAGTGCCCGAACTTCGCTCAGGGCTGATACGGGGTTGAGGATGCCGGGGAGGCCCACTTTGAAAAAGGCGTCTTGTTTGTACAAGCCGCTTTGACCATAAAGAACTAGAACCTGGATGAACAACCCGCGAAAACAAGCAACATGCCTTGGGCAATGCTGCTGAGCTGACTTCTTGGGATCTGATTTCTAGTTGGGGGTGCTTCGCCGTAAGATCTGGGGCGTGCATGTCGACCACAGTCGGTCCGGTTCACTGACGATTGGCAACTTCGTGGTCAGCCCATTTCAACTCCCAAGCTATAAGCTCGTTGGACCGGGAAGTGTCCGAGGGCTCTACTGGGAGCAGCGAGGCCATTGCACGAGTGAGCCAAGTCAAATGCTGCATTGCCTCCCGCTGGGACTCCTCCACTGCCTGGAGTTCATCCCACAGCTTTGAAGTTTGCTGCTTGAGGGAAAAGAGATCTACAGATCGTGCCGTGCCATGCAGCTGCATGCACCTTTCCGAGAAATCCTTGTAGCTGACCAGGTGATCTCCATCTGCATCCAGACTGTCGAATAAGGTCCAGCAATCGACCGCATCGACTTCAATCTTTGCGAAAAACGCCTTCATCTCCTCTTGCTGGAAAAGTTCCTCGAAGTCTGAGAGGCTGATTTGCCCAATTCCATTCACATCAATTTTTGCCCATAGATTCGCCACAAGTTGCTTGAATGTCTGCACGTGCCGCAGCAAGGTCTCCTGATCCTTCTCGCGGGTCTTGATGGCACTATTCACGAAGACACCTGCGCGGTAATGTGCCATATATATACATATATATATATGTGTGTGTGTGTGCTTGTAGGTTTGCTGTGGTGCCAGCAGCCCCCGAATGGAAAAAGGCACCCTTTGGACTCACTGCACTCAATAAAGAGGAAAGTGCAACCAGCAGCAGTTGCAACCCTCTCACTAAAAAAGCGAGTCATCACAAACATGACAACCAAACAAACAAGCAAGCACGCATTCAAGCATCCCTATGCGTCTTGGCCCAAAAATCGTCATTCACTTGGCCCAAGAAAGGAAGCATGCACAACCTCTTCGTCTTAGCAACCCAGCCAATCCTCTCATGAAGAAGGTCTGCAGGGACAGGTGGCCGGGCTTCAATCAACGCACTACGCGGCGCCAAGTGCGACCACGTACCCAAACGGCCACATCAATTGCGACGATCACTTCCAGCGCCACCCACGCGACCCAGACCACCGCACCCAGCCCAATGCTCCGACAAGCAGGATTCTGCATGTAACGGCGAATTCGGTCCCAGTCCCTCTTAACAGCATCCTGCAGATCCCATAGCTCATGCCTCTCCGCCGAAACAAAACAGCACCAAACGTAAGCGCCAAAGCCATCACGCATCCATCTCCAAGCGCCGTGTTCGGACCAACCTTTGTCCTTCATCCACGTTCGAAGCGTGTGAACGGGACTCCCAAGTTTGGCCTCCCATGACCAGACGTGGTCCCGGGCTATACGAAACACGACCCGAATCAGGGAGCTGGCAGTCACGCAGTCAGGTTGATTGATGGCCTCAGTCACAACGGCTCCAAGCCACTTCTTCCACATCCAAGCAACGCACTGCCCGCATCTGAACACAGGCCACAATTTATTCGACACTTGCAAGGGCGGCAGTGTCGCAAGTGTCCGATCCAACCATATTATGCCATGCTCAACGCAAGCGTGCGAGCATCTGTAGCCAAAACATCCGTACCAAGCTTATTTTCCCTGTGATTGTTGCCCTGCACCTACCCTGCGAGGCAACACCGAGGAAAACGACTTCTCAATGGCATCTATCAACGGGACAACTACGCCCAAGCTCACGCATCTCGGCTGCGGAATTGGCCATGAACTCGGCTTTATCATCGGACTCAACCAAGCCAGCCTCAGCAAAGCAATCCTTCCAAGCCTGATGCTTGCGAGCAAGATTGCAAGACGTGGAAGCACCATGGACACTCCCATCACTTCAGCAACATCAACCGGAAGCCCGTCTCGAACAGAGTAGACACCCGATTTCAACCACAAGGCGCAGACAAGCGGACCGCACGGTTCATGTCAGTCGACAGCGGCTGCCTACCAACATGCCCTTGCCAGCTCATCGGCATGAAATGCTTGCACAAAGCAACCAACTTAAGATTACAGCCCATCTCCCTCAAATAATTCCGCCGTAGGAGCTTGAATATGCATGTATAAACATATCGATAGATAGATAGGTATGTATATATACCAGCAAATGCGTCGGCATACTTTTTTTCGTCTATCGAGGTCGAGA